GTGTACGTACACACGCTATCGACAAGTGCTTTTGACAACCAGTAACTAACACAACAAGCCATGTAATGAGTAATGACATTCATTATTATCCCAGAGAAATTACGTTAATTTCATATTGAACCCTCCAGTGTTACTTAATACGTATTACGTGAAAATCATTTCCTTTTATGTTGCACATAGCCATTATAATATTAAAAATTAAAAAAATATTTATATAGGAAAAGTATTTGTATCAATATCGGCCGAAAAATGGGTATCGTAATAGGTATCGCCGAAAATTTTGGTATCGTCCCATCCCTAGTTTAGAAGGGTCTCATTTTCCATCCTATTCTTTACGCACACATAGTCATTGCACCATGACTGTATTTGTGGAAGGCTTTTGCTAAGTCTGTGTATAATACATTTGAATTCTGTTTGTCTTTCAGTGCATCCATTCCATGTCATAGTGTTCCAGTAGTTGTGTGAGGCAGGAGCGGTCTGCTCTAAACCTTTCCTGCCCTGGATTATACAATTAATGGGAATCTATGATTGACGATCTTGCTTCTAAAACCTTTTCAAAGCTTCTTATAATGTGTGACGTTAGTGCTCTCGGTCTTTAATTGTTTGATATTGCATTGGTGCCACCTTTGTGGAATGGGGTTTTAGCTGTTATTTTTAGCAACTGTGGTAAGATATTGTGTTAAAGCTCCCTCTCCATAGAATGCTTAAGACACACGAAATGGGTTTCATTTAGTTCTTGATGAACACGGAGTTCCACGAGTCTGGTCCTAGGGCAGAGTGCACAGGCATGTTAACATTTCAGTAACTTATCATAAGTCCAGTAGTGACAGGGTTATGTCAGAATTTTTGGACATATATATTGACAGGCTTTGAGTCTTGTCCACGAAAAAATCGTTCATGTTATCGATTTTTTATTTGATTAACTGCTCATGTAATGGTAAGTTTGGTTTCTCACTTCCATAATTATTATTAATATTATTATAAATTCACGGAGAAACACTAAATTCATAAGGCTACGCAGCATCTGGGAAATAGGACGTAACATGCCGTGATCCTAGAAAAGGGGGAGTAACTCAAAATCCATGGATCAGTAGTATATCAAAGTCAAAGCACTTTGAAGGGATTTTTTCTGATGAATATTATTATTCAGCCTCACAGTTAAGGTTCTTAGAGTCTTACTTTCAAAGTCCTTCGGGAAATTTTATGCTTGATTTGACTTATTATCTTGTCAATTACAACATCTGCCGTCACAACAAAGAGTAAAGTTGTCGACACTTCAAAATGTGAAAGAAATCAAATATGTGTGGTATGTGAATCCGGTTTTCAGTAAGAGGTCATTTCCAATAAGTAACCCGTAACATTACAACCAAAACTTTGAAAGGTGCAGTGAGGATTGTAGAAGTGTGATTGACTTGAGCATGCAAAAAAACTGGTAAGGGTCAGGTCGTGAGGTTTACCAAACAAAAGGGTTTGTGTCAGATGAAATTTTTTGTCAGCGTTTGTAGACGGCAGAAATCTTTCCTGGACGTCACCTGATTACCTTTGCTTCGATGCTTATGCTAAATCTTATTCACACGTCATATAGCTCCACAAACTGTTGGAAGGACACTGATACACTAGATATTAGTTTAATTTTACACTGAAGACAACATCACACTTTTCCAGTGATTTTATTTTTTCAGCTGACCGCACCAATAACCATCTTCTTGTTTCCTTAGACATCTACGCAACCAATGGAAGTGTATACTTATAGTTCTGGTTTGCAATACCCAGTATAAGGGTATATCTAGATCAGAGGCTATTCATATCAACTTTATTCTTCACCATGGGTACCGTCTTAAGGATACTACGCTGAAATAAAATTTCACCTGGCCAAATTAATGTTGCTCGGCCAATAGCATAAACTGATATTTTCTCAAGTGAACAGCATTCTCCTACAATAGTGTGCATATGTATTAGGACAGTGATGAAATAAGACATTTATTTGGAAAATTAATATTTATTTGAAAAATACACGGCAGTGATATTACATATAATTGAATTGATGAGAAATCTGACTACCTCTGCTTTTATAATCACTGTCACACGCTTTGGCACAGAATCGAACAATGTTGAACACATTTTGGCAGGTTCTTTGTCGTGGTACCATTTTGATTGTTGCCCTTAAATTCTCAGTTGGGTTGAGGTCAGGACAGTTCACAGGCCAATTTAGAATGCTTAGTCTACTCTCTTCGAAGAATGTCAGCATTTTTCCGAAAGTGTGGCATGGAGTAAGATCCAGCTGGAAAATGCCTTCACTATCAGAAAAGTCTCTATCCAACAATGGGAAACAAACGAACTGCAAGAATTGCCTTGTATTTGTCACTGTTCATCGTTCCCTCAACACGACAAGCCGTCCAGGGCTTGTGTTTTGGCGCTTGTTGAATGAATCCGTTCTAAAGAGTTTCGTCTTTGCTCCGTATCACTACCACTGATCTGTACCTATGTACAGTGGAACTTCTGGTCACGACCATAATTCGCTCCAAAACTCTGGTTGTGACCCGATTTGGTCGTGACCCGTACCTAATTTCCCAAGTGGATTGAATGTAAATATGATTGATCCGTTCCAGACCCCCTATGAATTGTATGTAAATGTTTTTTTTTTCTCAGATTTTTAAGCACAAAAATAGTTAATTATACCATAGAATACACAGTGTAATAGTGAACTAAATGTAAAAACCTTGAACAACAGAGAAAACTAACACTGCATGAGTCCGTTCTAGACTTCAAACGAACAGTTCCATGTAAACAGTTTTTTTTTTTTTTTTTTTTTTTTTTTTGGTTAGAGTTTTATGAGAGGTCTAACAGTTGAGAAGTGAACTCTGTTATTTATAGTCCGATTTCTTTCATTTTTGGTGTACGTTAAGAAGCATTTTCTTCTTCATACATTGCCCACGTTTCAATAAGATAGCCCAATAAACAACTGAGAAAAAAATATTTACCAGGAGTCATATATGACAAGCCGTAGTCTGGTACTGTCACTGCGAGAAGCTGTTTGTGCAGCACCTGCTGATAAAACACTGCTAATTCGAATTTATCATGGTTGTAATTACTGTAACTTATGAATAACTTACAAGATAATCGACGAAAACGAGTGCACAATGAAAAAAAAATTGAGACAGTATGTCACTCTGACTTTTTTGGGTTATCGTAGGTTTTTTACTCATATGAATATCAAAATGGTATACAAAACCGACAGGTTGGTAAGTAAGACACATAGGCAACTTTATTCCGAAACGTTTCGCCTACACAGTAGGCTTCTTCAGTCGAGTACAGAAAGTAGGTAGGAGCAGTAGAGATGTGAAGACGATGTAATTAGTCCATCACCCTTGAAGATTTGAGGTTGTCAGTCCCTCAGCCTGGAGAAGTTCTGTTCCAAAGTCTGGAACTAACTGAAGATCAAACGACAGTGTTGAGACTTAAATACTGTCGGAAGAAGAGGTGCAGAGTAGTAGTAGTGAGAATGTAGCCTCTGAGAGGTCACGTCCTTCTGAGAGGGACGTGACCTCTTTGTTAGTTGCAAACCAACAACAGGAAGTGGGGAAAATTGGCACGTGCAAAAAAATGGCGCAGAATGTGAAAATTGTCGTGGCTGTGTTTGTTCACCACCTGATTATGTGCTCGTGACCAGATGCAAAAATTTAGCAAATTTTTTGGTCACAAACCGATTTGTTCGTGTTTGGAAGCGATCGTAACCAGAGGTTCCACTGTACTTCAAAATGCGTCTCACTTGAAAATATAATTTTTTCTTCTTTCCCATCTTTCGTCCATCCCATATGATTGAGTGCCCACCGCAGCCTTTTGTTTTTTTCATAGCAGCAGAACAGAAAATTGTTCTTTATCGGCTTTCTGGCTTTCTGTCAACTTCAAGGAGCCTTCTTTTAAACAGTTGAAGGGAAAAATCATTTACGCCAGCAAAACCAAAACTGTCTGTAGATATTTGCTGGTGTTCTTGGGATCCTTAGGAATTATTTACTTTATGATAACCTTGGTCATCTGTGAGTTGCGTCTTGCCTTTTCTTGCACATTTCTTTGACGCAGCGCTCCAGAGTCACCTCTTTTGACAATCCGACCAACAACTGACTTACCTAAGCTTAAAGTTCGGCGATCTGTCTGATTCTCAAATCACCATGTTTTCTAAGACTTGCAATACTTGCCCGCTTCCTAGGTGTAACATGCATCATGAATTTCAACAGTAATTGTGAACTGAAGAGTAGAATTTGACGATTCCACATTCACTCATGGAGCATGCATGCAGAAATACCCTTACAGAACAACAGCTTCTGTAGCACTGACGAGAGTCGCAGGGTAACACCACAGCTGGATGATTGCTAGAAGTCGATAGCAAGCTCTTCTCAAAATTACCCAAACTACATTAAGCCGGAGACTAACGCATATTGTGAAATACTCACAAAATTTACTTTTGTCCCAGTTAATTTGCATAATATTCACTGCACTTACATATTCTCACGTTTCCTATAAACTCTCTTTAAACTTCATTTCCAAGGAAAAACTGTCTTAATAAAGAATCCAATCTCCCAGTGTGCCTTTGTTCTGTGAGACGATGAGAGCACTAAGTATCGTAAAGTAAGTTTAATACTAATGTACATTAAGTCAGAGTTTTACACAATAATTTTTATAATATGGAGAAAAAAGACTAATAGTAAAATATATTAGCGATGAAAGCGTTCAATAATCTTCAAGAAATACAGTAAGTCTAATAGTACAGAGCACTATTACGATGACTAGGGTAAATTAAGTCGAATTGTGGAATCAGAAATCTAATAGCAGAGTGAAATAAGAATAAAGGCATATATAATAAGTCAAATGTAAATTGTCAAAAAATAAATGAACACACTAAATGTAATAGCAAAGAACAACAAGCTTAGAAATTAATAACATCAAGTCTATTATTCAATGATGTCGTGTAATTCTAATGCCAAGATTACCATGTTCTCTAGGTGACACCAAAGAGAGATACTGACCGTCAGTGGAACCTTCCTAAGATGATGTACAGATCTTCGTTTCAACTCATCAGTAAGATGTAGTGACAATGGCAAGACAAGGTTTTCTACACTTCTGCAATAATCATTAAATATGCATAAGTTATCGTATTTTGCTCAGCAAAAGGCACATGTTAAACTGTCACTGCTGAGAATCTGTGAGTTGGAGAGACAGAGCAATTTCCAAACAGTGGTATTGCTTTATTTTATAGAGATGATATATACAAGGTATAAGGAAGCAATGGTAACACGCATGCCCATCGTACACAATTGAATAAGTAAATAGCTCATATATATTTTTAATATAAAAATATAATAATATATATATATATAATATATATATATATATAATATATAATTTTAAAATATATATATATATAATATAAAATACAACACTGATCTCTGGCTGAAGGAGACTCGAACCTACGACCTTGGGACAAGGTACGCAATGCTTTACCAATCTACCCACAACTGGACAATACCTTGGCGTGTAGCTTGCGCTACACGTTTGATCCAAGGCAGCCAGCTTTCCCTGAAAGCTGGCTGCCTTGATCAAACGTGTAGCGCAAGCTACACGCCAAGGTATTGTCCAGTGTGGGTAGTTTGGGGTAAAGCACTGCGTACCTTGTCCTAAGGTTCGTAGGTTCGAGTCCCCTTTCCCGCCAGAGATCAGTGTTTGTGTACATTTCGCCTGCTCCTCGCGAATTCCTTGCATATATAATATATATAAATATAATATATATATATATATATATATATTATATAATATATATATATATATTATATATATATATATATAATAAATATATATCCATTAAACTGTCCAAACGAAAGTTTCAACGTTTTAATTTTCATTTCTTCAAATTTGGCACAATAGACTTGAGTCGCCTGGACATGAAAGAATGGCTCTGTGCGCACTATTAAAAAAATCTGGGAGCTCTTAGTACCTTGTGGGAGCACCAGTTCAACTGAGCCAGCTAGAGCAAATAGCGTGGCAAACATCAGGGATTCACTGATGCCATGTCACATTAACACTCCAACTTTAAGAGGAAAGTAAAAATAGGTTAGATAAATATATGTGTGAATGTGGGTGGATGTGAGTTGGACCTGACTAGCTTGTGCTAGTCAATGGATGTGACGTGAGTAGGTGGGTCATTTGTCTAAGCCGGGGGGAAAGAGTGTGACATGTACCTTCCTTGCATGGGCCAGTAGGCCTGCTCAGTGTTTCTTCTTTCTTATGTTCTTGTGTATTCGGCAGGCTGGCCGGCTGGCTTGCTTTGGTTGTCTATCTGTCAGTATCTGTCTGTCTATATCTCTGTCTATATCTCTATCTATATCTCTGTCTATCTGTATTTCTGTCTATGTATACCTCTATCTGTATCTCTGTCTATGTATACCTCTATCTGTGTCTCTGTCTATGTATACCTCTATCTGTATCTCTGTCTATGTATACCTCTATCTGTATCTCTATCTATCTATATCTGTCTCACATGTACACATAAGTACAGTTATTATTTTTATTATATATTTTTATTAACACACTGGCAGATTCCCACCAAGGCAGGGTGACCCGAAAAACAAAAACTTTCACCATCATTCACTCCATCACTGTCTTGCCAGAAGGGTGCTTTACACTACAGTTTTTAAACTGCAACATTAACACCCCTCCTTCAGAGTGCAGGCACTGTACTTCCCATCTCCAGGACTCAAGTCCAGCCTGCCGGTTTCCCTGAACCCATTCATAAATGTTACTTTGCTCACACTCCAACAGCACGTCAAGTATTAAAAACCATTTGTCTCCATTCACTCCTGTCAAACACGCTCACGCATGCTTGCTGGAAGTCCAAGCCCCTCGCACACAAAACCTCCTTTACTCCCCTTCCAACCTTTCCTAGGCCGACCCTACCCCCCCTTTCCCTTCACTAAAAAAGACTGATACACTCTTGAAGTCATTCTTTTTTGCTCCATTCTCTCTACATGTCCGAACCACCTCAACAACCCTTCTCAGCCCTCTGGACAACAGTTTGGCAATCCCGCCCCTCCTAACTTCCAAACACGAATTCTCTGCATTATTATCACACCACACATTCCCCTCAGACATGACATCTGCACTGCCTCCAGCCTTCTCCTCGCTGCAACATTCATCACCCATGCTTCACACCATATAAGGCGTTGGTAAAACTTACTCTCATACATTCCCTCTTTGCTCCAAGGACAAGTTCTTTGTCTCCACGACTCTAAGTGCACCTCTCACCCTTTTCCCCTCATAAATTCTATGATTCACCTCATCTTTCATAGACACATCCGCTGACACGTCACTCCCAAATATCTGAATACATTCACCTCCTCCATACTCTCCCCCTCCAATCTGATATCCAATCTTTCATCACCTAATCTTTTTGTTATCCTCCTAACCTTACTCTTTCCTGTATTCACTTTTAATTTTCTTCTTTTGCATACCCTACCAAATTCATCCACCAACCTCTGCAACTTCTCTTCAAATCCCCCAGAGCACAGTGTCATCAGCAAAGAGCAACTGTGACAACTCCCACTTTATGTGTGATTCTTTATCTTTTAACTCCATGCCTCTTGCCAAGACTCTTGCATTTACTTCTCATACAACCCCATCTATAAACATATTAAACAACCACTTTGACATCACACATCCTTGTCTAAGGCCTACTTTTACTGGGAAATAATTTCCCTCTTTCCTACATACCCTAACTTGACCCCTCACTATCCTCGTAAAAACTCTTCACTGCTTTCAGTAACCTACCCCCTTACACCATACACTGCAACATCGGGCTACATTGCCCCCCTATCCACCTTGTCTTTACCCCTTTTTCCCAAAATCATAAATCCCACAAAAACCTCTTTAGCCTTATCTAAATACTGTTCACTTACATGTTTCACTGTAAACACATGGTCCACGCACCCCCTACCTTTCCTAAAGCCTCCTTGTTCATCTGCTATCCTATTCTCCGTCTTACTCTTAATTCTTTCAATAATAACTCTACCATACACTTTACCAGGTATACTCAACAGACTTATCCCCTTATAATTTATGCATTCTCTTTTGTCCCGTTTGCCTTTATACAAAGGAACTATGCATGCTCTCTGCCAATCCCTAGGTACCTTACCCTCTTCCATACATTTATTAAATAATGGGTGTTGAGAAATGATTTACCAGATAAGTTTGTTTAAATATAGAATACTTAGCTGGTAAAAGACAGCAAATCGTCTTCACAGCCGCCCCTTCAGACGAGGTCTTGAGTAGCTGTCTTGATCATTTTTCAACAGGCTGAAATTAATTATATTTTGTAAGATTATAAATTACCCCTAGCGGGTGTTATGTCAGCATATTTCATTCACTGATTGCTGACAAACTTACTTGTATGAACTCAAAAGTCCGCTTAACATCGGGGTTTATGATAAGTGACTAACTCGTAACCTCGACTCAACTGCAGAGTCAATAGTAATACATCACGAGTTAGAACACTTACCTGGGTATATGTATCTGACCTGTAGTTACACCCGGATATCCGATGAGTTGATTGAAGAATAGTGTTCTTTGAAGAATGTTGCACTACACTCTGTTGGATCGCAACACTCGTTGTTAAACTGTTCATCAATAATTGTTCACTCAATATCACTAAGAAGTTGATCACACTTCTCTGTAAGTGTTTATCGTGTTTTGTGAGACACTTTGTTCACACTAACGCACGGATCAGTGTTCTTTGTTGGTTATCCTTGCGTCAGTGTGACTCACAGTAGAGTCAAAAGTAATCTCACCTCACAACGCCCCATGCCGTCATTGTCCCTCGCACATAAAGGAAAAGCTGACCTAGTACTTTTTCTTCCTTGCCACCTCCTCCATGAAGCAAAGCAGAATTCTTACTGTCTTAAGCATAGACAACAATGTACACTATCTTTACCATGGTAATAAAGTGGGAGCATGGTTTTCCTTAATTGTCCTGCTAAGGTAAGAGATGGACTGTCTTTTATTAAAATACACTTTGCAACACTGGACTTTGCAAGGAGAGTCGGTCACTTGACCACGTCGCATACTCGTACTGCATCTGAGATCAATTACTTGCTGTAGCAGTAAACAATTTGCTTGCCCCTTCTGAGAGGGCTGGGCCCATCAGGGCTGAAAGGGGCTGAAAGGGCTGAAGGGGCTGATAACCCCTCCTGGAGAAAATTTCTCCACACTGGGGGGCGGCAGAGGTTTTGTTTTTTTTTGCCGGGGTGAACATTCATCACTTAACATTAATTTGATTTTATCCCCCCCCCCAAACCAAATGCTGTTTAAATCTTTTGAACCTTTTTCGGGCGTGGTTTCGGGAAAATCACTAATTTTTTTTTTTCAACACTGTGAAATTTCTAACGGACTATTTATTTATTGTCACTTTTTTCCCTCCCCCCTTTGTTAAAACATAAAGTGTCCTGAGGGTTTTCCCTTTTGGGAAATAAGGAAAATAGGGTCAAAATTTTTTTTCCAAGTGGCCTTGGGGACCTGGGACCATCTTTGTCAATAATCACTAGGTCACCAGTTTTTAAAGGGGACTTATGATTTTCAGGAACACCAGTCCTTAAAAATTTTTCTCTCAATGAGGTGGGGTTTAGTTTTCTCCCCAAAATTTTCTCTAAAACTTTCCCAATCACTTTTTTAAAGGGGTGTTTTAATTTATTCTGAGTTGCTAAAGGTTCAAAATAAGTAGGACCCTTCTATGATTTCTTTATCATTCATGGGAGGAACAGGTTGGGCCCTTCTGCCATGGATTTAAATGAAGGGATTTAAACCCACTTCAAAAATTGTCCAGTCATGGGAAAAACCCTAATTTTAGAGGTCTTTTTGTTGACTCTTTTTTCCCAATTTCGTCAGGGACAGTAGGGAAAATTCTTCAAAGTCGATTCTTTGAGGGATAAAAGAGTCTTCCTTAAACAATTTTTAAACAATGCGATCATTCTTTCATAAAACCCCGGCCGTCCCAAAGGAGATTTACGGGGAATGTATCTCCAACGAAAAACTGCTTTGTTTCAGCACGTTGAAACTTCTGGTTGATAAAAGATCTTGCTTTATATAAGCAGCACCAGAACAGTTTTCGTTGCTTTACTGAAATCATCATTTGGGGGAAAAATCCCCTTCTGGCTGCAAAGTTTCCGAAAAAATTTTTGATAAAGGCTTCAGCAGACATGTCAGGGGCCCTACTTCTAGATGTACTGCTCTAGTCTTTAGCACAAGTGAACAAACAAAAGGACACTTTGAGGGGAATTTTTGTAAAC